GGTACCATTCACGTGAATGAGCTTGATGAAATTATTGATCAAACAGGTATTTTTAAAATTTTTAGTTAAATTGATTAAAGCTGACCTTATTTTAAATTAGTTTTAATATATCTTATAGAACATACATGTAATGGCCCTTGTTCTGATCCCATAATTATGAGACAAAAATTAGCAGGCGCTTGTAAACGCAAAGCCGTAGACGATATTTGCCAAAGACCGCAAAAAATAATTTTAGGGGAAATTCAAACATTAAGTAATAATAATTTTACGACAACGGATGTGTCATGTATTCGCCAAACTATTTATCGCACTAGAAGACAATTTTTTCCTACTAATCCAGAATCTATAAGTGAATTACATACAATTATTGATCATACAGAAATACTAACTACGCGCGGAGAACAGTTTTTATTACACAACGATCATGAGAAAAATATTATTATTTTTTCTTGTGATACAAACCTCAAATTTCTTTGCAATTCCAAATCAATATATGTAGATGGAACTTTTCAGTATTGCCCAAAACATTTTGTACAATTATTTACCATACACGGATATATAAACAATTACTATGTACCACTTGTTTTTTGTTTATTAAAAAATAAATTTATAGAGACTTATAAAGAAGCTTTTGAGGTTATAAAATATAAATGCACTGAAAAAAAGTTATTACTGTATCCTGAAAATATAACTGTCGATTTCGAAGTTTCTATTCACAAAGCTGCTCTAATTGTGTGGCCATTAATTACTATTATTGGTTGTAGATTTCACTTAACCCAGAGTTGGTACAGAAAACTTCAAGAGTTAGGTTTGAGTAATGCTTATAAAACATGTGAATGGTTAAAAGGTACCTTCGGGTTAACTTTTTTAAATCCAGAAGACGTGTCTGATTGTTTCGTTGATGACTTCATGACATTAATACCTGAGGGAACAGCTTTCATTCAGTATGCTGATTATTTAATCGACAATTATATTTCTGAGGAAAGCAAATATCCTCCAAAAATTTGGGCATTGATGGACCCCTCATTAGCCCGGACAACAAATAATTGTGAATCATTCCATTCACATTTTAATGATCAATTTTATAAGGCACATCCTTCTATTAATATATTTTTAAAAATTTTAATAGAAAACGTTCAATCTTATAATTACATTAAAATATATAGTTCTAATAACGCAATCTCAATAAGCGTACGGAGTAAAATTGAAATCCGTTCCAATAAAACAAAAGAGGCAATTGATAAGTATAATAAAAAAGAAATTAGCAGACTTGAATTTGTAAAATTAGTTTCCAACAACTACCGAAAATTGTATAGATCATAGATCTATTTTTTATTATATTATTTCATATATTAAATAATTTTTAAGCTTATAATTAATATTTGAATTTTATTTCAATGTTTTGATGACTATATTTTTTTATAAACTATACTTTTTTATAAACTATACTTTTATTATTTATTACAAAAATATATGTACATACTTAAGACAGTTATCTATTATAATTTATTTATCTTTGGTAAAACGCCATATTTTGTTTATAAAAGTGTATTTATGTGATAAAATTTTGGTACGGGAAGCTGCCTACCATGGATAAAGTTAAATGGTTCTCAAATTTTTTAGTAGATAGACAGGTAGAAGATCAGTTTGGCGGAAACGAAAAAACGACCTTATTCAGATTTGGCGGAAACGATGAACGCCCCAAATAATTTCTAAAAATCTCTGTTAAAATGTAGATAAATACGTGTCGTCAAATCCTATCAAATTATCTTCAATTTTGTTATTTATTTAAAATACCATTTATTTTATAGTAAATAAATATAGTATATTATAAAAAAAGTTAATACCAATATATTAGGCATTTTTTTTAAGTTGGGGGGTGTCCAGACATGGAGGACACCCCCCCAAAATACGCCACTGAAAAACTATCATTAAATTATTTGATTTTTACTGATTTTCTAATGCTAAATTTTACATGTTATACATTTTACTAAAACTTAAAATTTTTATGGTGTATAAAACAGATATATATCTACAAAACTAAAAAAAAATTTTTTGGAAATTAGGTTACCCAACAGAGATATTGCACTTAGAATACACGTATTTTTATAAAATTTCTAACTTTGTAGGCCTCTAAATCCCAAGATAATTGTTTTAAATATTTGAAATTTAGTTGAAACATAGATTATACACTATACAATACCAAATGTAAAAATCACAATAAAATAATAACTTCTAAATGGTTTTAAGTGAGCTCAAAAACGCCAATTTTCACAAAAAAAACGCCATTTTTTGAAAATTATTAAAATTTAGAATTTCACATAATTTTTTTTTTTTTTAATGTAAACTTTAAGTTATAATAGAGTCAAATCTAAAATTTTAATTCGATTGAGTTGAAATTGAATAATCTTGGTGTTTTTAACGATCTAGCTATTTTTAACTCTTTTTACATTGAAATAGTCATAAAAATGAGAAAATCATAAAAAAAAAAATTGTTTTAATCTAAATATAGCATTATGAATAAACCCTGAAAATTTCAGAAAAATATGAGGTGGTCGTGCGACCACTTCTGGATGATTTGGCATGGATTGACCCTTCTGCTAATATGTAATTTTGTCAGGGAGTTCCATAAATTCTTGAAATTACATGAATTTGATTATAGGAATGATTCTTAGGAAGGCGTACTTTTAATATACAGAAATTTACTGAACAGGATCTTTATTTGCGGTATACTGTGTATACAGTTATGCACCTAAAAATTCTGCTATCATTTTTGGTTTCGAACACTGGTCAAGTCCCTCAATATCTTACCTCTTACTCACAAATATTTTGTTCAAAATCTATTTATGAAACGGGGAAATGTTCAATGAATGCTATGGGACATTAGCCACTCAGAAATTTCAATCAAACACCTCAAGTTTAGATTAATTTTAAACAATACGACAAAATTTAAAAACTATAATCGAATCATAATAAACATAGACCGTAATATTTATATAAAAAACCATTATAAATTTTGTAATACTTTTGATTATAAGTAATGTTTCAATAAATAAACCATTACGTTATGATACTAAATTAAGTTCAGAAATATTCTTTGACTTAATATGTTATCAAAATCGTTTTTAGTTAAAATATAACTGCAAGCGCAACTCGTCAAGATTTTGTCTCGCATCTAGCGGAATAAATATGATTAGAAGTGTATTATTGTAGGTATCCGATAAAGACTAGTGATGGGCATTTTCAAATATTTTAAACTATCGTATAACTATTCAAATTGTGTATATAGAACCGAATAGTTTATTTTTAGCATAAACTATCGAATAGTTTTAAAAACTATTCGAATATATTGTGTAACTATCGAATATTTTTACTATTCGAATATTTTTTGAAAGACTATCAAATAGTTCGATAGTTTCTATTTGATATTTCCCATCACTAGTTTTTTTTAATTACGGCAGCCGTTNGATATTTCCCATCACTAGTTTTTTTTAATTACGGCAGCCGTTTACATACAGAACTCAAAAAAAGTGCAAAATATTAATTTACACTGACGGATTTAAACCTTGTACCGTAAGCATGAAAGACACAAATGTTACCGACTCGGCTACTGTTTGTTGCTTTCGTCGCATGATAAATTAGCTATTTAAGCTAACTCAAATTTAAAAATTACTTTTTCGACTTTAAAAAAATAAAAAAAAACGGTAGCACAGTGGGGTCACGGCATAGTGGAGACATTGCATAGTTGGGTCCAGTATAGATTTAATCTGACAGTGATTAAAATCACTACCATAAGAAACACTTCGATGCAAATCTGTAGATAGTGTTTAATTTTAAAAAATTGATGGATAATTGCAAAAGCAACATCAACTTCTATTAAAATAAAATACAAAACCCATAATTATATACAAAAATAGCATATTTTTCAATATGGTAGCCATTTGCGTATAGAAGATAGATCGTCGGGACAAATTTTTTTTTTTCATTTTGTAGTACATAAAATAAGCTTTAATTTTATATATGTTTAAAGGACGCAGTATTTCCGGAACATTTTCAAAAATTAAGTTGAAAAAGTTATTTTTTGTAAAAAAGTTACTATTTTAAATCCTCCCAGTGAGCAGAATAAGTGTTAGATTTTCAAAAAAAATTATATCAAATGAAAGGGAAATATCTAAGGTTTC